CTGATAGCTTTACCATATCATGTTTTTGCATTGGAAGTGCCTCCATTATGGATGCTACCTTATCACTACGAGTAGTCACAAGAATGGAGTTTCCACTGGTTTTTAAAATTTTTAACAAACGAGAATTGAAACTATCCCACTTGCCTCTATCTTCATTCCACATGTCATCAAGAACTAGAAGAAATTTTCTATTTTCTAACTTCTGCCCAAGTTCCTGAATAAGTGCACCTATATTATTCATTCGACCAACAGAGCTACCAAGGTATTCTAACATATCTCCTAATATTATTTTTTCATCAAATTCCTCAGACACACAGACCCAAGCCACCAGGTCATACAACTTTTGTTCTTTTACCATTTTGCATATTGACTTCGCTAATGTTGTCTTGCCTATGCCCCCAAAGCCTACTATTGAAATGCCAGAGAGGATATGTTGACTCCTTATGTTATCCAGCTTGTTGACAATTTCTAAGACATCATTATGCCTTCCTACAAATTTGAAACGATCAGGGTTGGGATCTGTCTTAGGATATTGCCTTGCACCAGCAGTGGAATGACATTGGCCACTCAATCTGATTGACAGATACAAAACCCCTTTGTTGTAGATGTTATCCAGAGTCTTATTAATCCTCCTAATCTTATCAGCCATGCTAAGACGAGAGGCAGCGCTATTGAAAACACCAAAGAAGGTGCGCACCTGTTTCATTTTTCGGCCTTGAGTCTGAACTTTGTGCTTAAGAACCTCATACTCGTACTCATCCAGTACATCCACCGCATCATAAGCTGCATCTGTGAGGTTCTGTAACCAACTCCTTATGGCTGGATCGCTTTCTTGCCTCTCTTCAGCATCTTGAAGCAATCCTTGGATCATAGTCAGTGTTTGAGCAAGCTCCCCCAGCTCCTTCTCCAGACCCCATGCCGTGCTGATTTGTGCAGCAGCAAATGAAATTGCTTTAGAGACTGCAAACTTTATGATTGGGCTGACGAAGTTGAGGGCGAGTTCAGCCATTATGCTTTGAGAATCAGAGAAAAATGGCTAGCACAATTAAACTCTGCAAAAGAAAAGAGGAATAGTGTTGAGAAAGCAGAGATTGGAGCAGCCACTGGACTAAAAATATGTTGAAACGTTGATGAATAATCTGCAAATAAAAGGTAATCACTTACCAGATCTGATCCTAAAATGCTTAGCCACACAGAAAGATAGCAAACGCAAGAGAATCCTGAGAGACAAACAGAGATGGTGTCTGTGAGAGAACTGAGCACAGATGAGGAGGGATTGAAATGCAGCCCTGTTTTTATAGAGCAGAGAGACCATTGTAGCTGTTTGGGCAGCTTTGTAGTCCAACACTGTTGAAGTTCTTGACTATTTCTACACCTGAAAATCCGGAGGAGTCCTTGACTGCTTCTACACCTGAAAATCCGGAGGATGTTTCCTCGAGAAAGCACTCCAACGCTCAAATCAGCAATACTTGATATTCTATAAAGAGAGATGCTATTAAGGAGTAATTGCAGAGAGAGAAGTGTAGAAATTAATTACTTTTCTTGGAGGTAGTTGAGAGGTATTTATAGCCTCAAGTGCTGATATGCATCTGTACATGTAAACATCTCATTGCCCATGTGGATATGCTTGCATTAGTGTTCCCTCAATTTGGGCTATTGGACGGTAGTTTAAGCCCATTATGCACAATCCTATTTGGATGTTGGGCCTATTCCAACAGTAGCCATACGCGCATAGGGATGTCTGCTTAGCCAATGCAATTATGTTTCTGTGATATTTCCCATTTACTTTTCTTATTTCATTCTTTCTTATCTTTTTTTTGGTATAAAACGATTGGAATAGCATTAGATAATAATGTTCCTGGGAATCGAGTTCCTCTTGTTTTATTCTTTTTTATCTTTTTTGGTATAAAGAGATGGGAATAGCATTAGATAATAATGTTCCCGTGAATGGAGTTCCTCTTATTTTATTCTTTCTTATCTTTTTTGGTATAAAAAGATAGGAATAGCATAAGATAATAATGTTCTTGGGAATCTAATTCCCCATTACATCAAGATAATACATATTACACATCAGTAGGACATTGTTCCAAAACAACAAAAAGAGGAAGCTAAAGTAGTTCCCATCTTAGCCAAAAGGTCCGCAAGAGCATTGGCATCGCGGTAGATATGCTGTAGGTGAACTTCAGGAATTTGGCGTAGGAGAGCCCTGCAGTCATCAAGGAGAGTAGCAAGAGGATGAAAATTAATATAGTTAGAATTGAGCAAAGTAACTGCTACTTTTGAATCAGTTTCCACAATGATTTTTGTAAGCCGCTTTCAACAGCAAGACTAAGACAATCTCGAATGGCTTATAACTCCGCAGCAAGGCTATTAGTGTGGCCAATGTTTCGGGAATAATATCCCAAAAACCAATGGCCCCTATGATCTTTCTTATCTAGTAGTGCTTCTCCTTTCCTGCTTTGCTTTTTCTTATTTTATTCTTTCTTATCTAGGAGTGCTTCTCTTTTCCTGCTTTCTGCCACTATGTGAATAATTGACCAAAGCCGACTGTCCCATTTCTTTCAAAGTTCCAGTTCACCTTTTCTATTCTTTACAAATTAAAGTGAATTTCTTACCCTATTTTCCGTCACCTCTTTTGCTCTTTTTCTAATGTAAATAAACAGAATTTTCCATGATGTCTCTTTTTGCTGGAGGTAAGTTTCTGGGCAATGGAATTTCATGTTCCTTCGTTTTTCCTTCTATTACTTTCTATATAAGGTAAATTAATGTAATGTTTCCACGGTACCCTCTTATTTTGTTGATAAATTATAAGTATAATTTTTAAAAGAGATTAGTGCTTATACCTGTTGTATTACTTAAAAATTAAGATGAACATTACATTAAAATTATGTTGTTTTAAAT